ATGCCTTCCAAGTGTGTGTCCTCCTCCCTAGTGCTGTGACTTTCAATTCTGTATTATGGCAACTGTTGTTCGAGGGTACCCCAGCATTGTTGCCTCTTTTTCTCAGAGCTCTAATGTCAATAAACCCATCATTCCTGGTCATCAAACTTTTGCAAATTTAGAAATTCACATTTAGTTAAACATTTTGGAGCCCTTCATTTATGCTAGACATATATAACGTTAGGTATATTTGAAAAAAAATACATCTAGTTTTTGAAGCATATTCCAAGTAAATTTCAACACGTAAAAGTACCTTTCATGAGATCCTTTAATAGCTCAGTTGGTAGGGTGGATGATTGTAAAAATACTTTTCAAGTATTTTCTTTATTATCATTTATTTTTGGAAGGAAAGAATGATGTACAAGAACCAGATTAATTAGGCACTTCACACAAAAACCCTTTGGAAAGTGTTTGAACAATGTTATTTTTAATATTCTAGTAATAGATTGAGTTCAGCAGTCATAACTCTTAGATTTTAGTAATTGGCAAAATGCAGCGAAAGACAAGATATTTGTATAAGTGGTATTCATGGAAGCAAATATCTATTAATTGACTTTTTAAAATTGAGTTCAATTAATAGGAACAAGTGTGACATTCTTTTGTTTGCTTTTTAGAAATAAATTTCTCCAAACTGGCTTTGAGACACTATTTACAATACTTTGAGGATATTTTAAACTTAAATTGATTTAATGCTTTACTTTCTTACATTGCTTTTACTTTTCTTATAGAAGATATACTTCTCTATGTGTCTTATTTTCAAACTTAATTTTCCTTTCATATCTTAGATTTTAAGGTATTCTATTTCACTCTTACCTGAATAATGAGCAATTCATTCATTTCATGTTTATTGTGTGTTTATAACCTGTCAGGCACCATGCCATCTTTGTTTATACAACAGTGACACCAAATAGATAAGAAACTCTAACCAAATGGGGTTGACAGTGATTAATCAGATAATCACAGGAACAAACAAAGCGTTGAGAACAAGAGGAGACTCTGCATGAGTTGAATATATAGAAGCAGCTAAGGTCCATTACCGCGTGAGACCTGGAAGCCATTCCAAGTATTATCTTCATCCTGAGAGCAAAGAAAAGCTGTTCAGTGACTCAAAGCCCACCTTCAGATGAGGAGATTTACTTGAATTATCTGGGTAGGAACCAATACAATCACAAAAGTCCTTAAAAGTAGAAGAAAGCAGAGTGAAAGAACCAAAGAGATGGCATTGTGAGAAGGACTCAGCCCAGCGTCACTGACTTTGAAGATGGTAGAGGGTGCTGCCAGACAAGAATGCCAGAAACCTCTAGAAACTTGAAAGGTCAAGATAACAAATTGTCCTCTAGAGCTTTCAAAAAGGAATCCAGCTCTGCCAGCATCTTGATTTTAGCCCAGTGAGACTGATTTCAGATCTCCAGAAGAGAATCCATTTACATTGTTTTAAGCAGCTATATTTGTGGTAATTTGTCAAAGAAGCCATAGAAGATCAATGTACTACCCGACTGAAGACTCATATCAAACCTATTGTGTTGACCCTATTAGTATCCTTATTTTCAGATAAAGGAAAGTGCTATTCCTGGTCTTACTTGCTGATGCCTACCTTCCTTAAAGGTCATGCACGAAGGCCATAATTCTGCCACCTACATCCAGAATGGAGAACCTGAATGCGGGGGGGGGGGGGGCAATTTAGGAGTAGAAATCAAGTGTAGCTTTAGAAAGACTGAGTTTTGAAAGTCTTCACATGGAATATGAAGTAGGGAACGCCAGCTCTTCAAGGGAATAGCTCAGTTAAAAGTAGAAATTTGGGAACTGTCAGCAGGAAAATGCTTTTTCAAGCCCTAGAAATGAATGGAGTGATCCATGGAGGTGACACAGAGAGAGAAGATGAAAGGATGATGAACTCTGGCATGGAAGCATTTAGGGATGACAGAAGGGAGGGGGCCTAAAAGGAGTGTCCTATGTGTCATTCTTGGCGCCTCCTTTTATAAAGATATAATTGTATTGTAAAATATGGAAAGGATCCTTAGGGAACCTAAGGTCTCAGGGCAGCCAATACTGGTCGTGTGATTGTAATATGGCAACCCCAAATCTGCTGACTGTTCTTGACCAAAGGATGTCAGTCCTTCTCTGTTCCCACCTTAGGACTTTGACATTTGTTGTTTATTTCCTGCAGATAGTACTGAACCACTCAATATTGTAGCCGCTGGCCACCTGCAGCTATTTAAGTTTAAAATGATTAAAATGGGCCAGGCTCTGTGGCTCACACCTATAATCCCAGCACTTTGGGAGGAAGTGAGAGGACTACCTTAGCCTACGGGTTCAAGACCATCCTGGGAAACTTGGCAAGACCTCATCTCCACAATAAATCAAAGAAAAATGAGCTGAGCATGGCGGCGCATGCCTGTAGTTCCAGCTACTTGGAAGGCTGAGGCGAAAGAATCGCCTGGGTTCAGCAGGTTGAGGCTGCCGTGGCCGCAAGTGTGCCACTGCACTCCAGCCTGGGTGACAGAGTGAGACTCCAACTCAAAAAAAAAAACAAAAACAAGATTAAAATGAAATAGAATTAAGAATTTAATCCTCAGTTCCACGGGTGACATTTCAAGTGCTTTATAGGCACAAGTGACTAGTGCTTACTAGACATAGAACATTTTCATCATCACAACCAGTTCTATTGGGCAGGGCTGAACCAATACACCCTTCCCACAGGTCTAACATCCACTGCCACACCTATTTCAAGTTCGTACTCAGAAGTGAGCTTCTGTGCATATTCCCAGTAGTGGGATTGCGGGGTCATATGGGAGGTCGATATTTAGAGCTTTTAGGAATTGCCACACTGCTTTCCACAGAGGTTGCACTAGTTCACACTCCCACCAACAGTGTAGCAGTGTTCCCTTTTCACCACACCCTCTCCAGCATCTGCTATTTTTGAGTTATTGATAATTGCCATTCTGACTGGAGTTAGGTGGTATCTCAGTGTGGTATCTCAGTGTGGTTTTAATTTGCTTCTCCCTGATGATTAGTGAGGTTGAACATTTCTTCATGTGTCTGCTGGTCACTTGGATATCTTCTTTTGAGAAGTGTCTGTTCATATCTCAAATCACTCTATAAAAAAGATACCTTCACACATATGTTTATCGCAGCATTGTTCACAATAGCAAGAACCTGAAACCAACCATGCTGTCCATCAAAAGAGAACTGGATTAAAAAAATGTGGTACATACACACGATGGAATACTACACAGCCATCAAAAAGAACAAAATCACGAATTTTGCAGCAACCTGGATGGAACTAGAGTCTATAGCACTGAGTGATCTCTCACAGAAACAAAGATCTGAGTGTCACATGTTCTCACTCATAAGTGGACCTTGAACAACTATCGTAATACTATAAGAAAAGGATTGACAGTGGCAGAAAACTGTGGGGGGCAGGGAAGGGACAGGAGCTGGGATTAACGGTAGTCAATATCTGTCTGGGGATGGGGGGCACACCTCATCAGCAAAGGTACCTGCACAATCCATATTTGTATACCTAACCCTTGACTGTACCCCACAATTTTAAAATAAAAAAGATGTTTAAAAAAAAAAAGTGAGCTTCTCTGTTAGGTATGCCAGACACCTTATGAAAAATTGTGACCTTTTGTCAATATATCCTACTTCCCTGATTTTCTGTATTTATCCGTAGACTTATTTCCTTCTAACCTATGTCTTGTTCATGTATTTTGTTTACTAACTGTTATTTCTAGCTCTACTGACATGTAAATTTTAGGAAGGCAGCCACTTCTGTGTGATTATGTCACTATTTGAATAAAAGAAAATGGATTTACTTATTGATGGACTTTATCCTTATGTATCACACACAATTCTTAAAAAAAAAACTCCCTTGATGTCTGCTGTGCAAAAATTAAAACCTCTAGTATGTGATTTCCCTTTTAACTAAATGCCCGACATGCCCGCTTTATATCTGTTTACTTTCTCTGATTTAAAGTTCTTCTTGTCTGGTTCCAAAGTGCTCAAAGCAAGTTCCCACTAGATCAACCCAATTTCATCAAAGAGTTTTCCCCTCTGAAAACCCCCATCAAACACTTGGCGTGAATGTTCAGCACAAGAAGTTAATCACCAGCAAAGCAGTGCCGTTTCACACTCGTCGGACACGCTGGGGTGATTAATAAACCTGAGGCTGTCAAGACCTGCTTTCCCACACTCAATGAGTTGCTTGTCGTCATTTTGTCCTTTTCCACTTTATTGTCCAAAGTAAATGTACAGAAAATATGCTGCTCCCCCCAGGAACAAAAATGTTTAAAGGGTCAGTGTTATTGCTTGTCTTTGCGAGCACCAAGTCATATTTCAGTAAGGATCAGACATTCAGAAATGCTATGATACACATACACATATGAGGGGCAATGAGAAGCCATGCATCCTGATCCTTCTGACAAAGAAACTTCGTTATGGCAATACTTAACAGGAAATAAATATGAATAGCCAATTCTTCGAGTTTGAAGAAAGTGCTTTTTTCTAGTGCGGGTTCAATAGCTTTTCATCCTCATAAAAAAAAATGTAGGATTGTGAGACTTCTAATGATTCTCTCTTACAGCAGGAATTTAGAGAGCTGCTAAGTCTTAGCCTTTCTTGTAGGGCTTTACTTACCATAAGAACCATGATAGGTTATTTTCAAGACATCATTAAAATCATTTTGCTACTACTTTGCTATTTTTTTTTTCTATTTGGTACTTCCACTTCAGCACAAGTTTTCCTTTGGCAGATATCACTTTTCCCCCCTTACTTTATTTATTCTTAATTGCTAAATAATCCAAATTATGCAAAACCTCCTTTGGCTCTCCTATGCACTTTTTGGTCGCTTGTAGGATTTTATTTTCTCTCTTCCTAGTACCTTAAGTATACAAACATAGAACTTACATGGAATGTAACTTCCAGGCTGTTACTTTTGTTTGTGTGTTTTGGCATTATAGATCCCAATATCAACCGATACCATGTGCAGTGGCTTCCAGAAGTATGTGCCCACAACAAAACAGCTGGATTGGAGACATCATCTGGCATGACCCATGTAAGAAGATGGTTCTAGACTTACTAGATCTGGCTATATAATTGGACAGAAGGATGTGCAAACCAGATATGACAAATGGATAGCTCATTCTCACAAATTAGCTATTGAATAATGACTCAATGAAAGCTGAACACATAATGGTCATTATATCTATTCATTCTTTTATCCATTCACACAATTATATTGAGAACTTACTATATTGTCAACACAAGGCAAGTGCTAAAATGGCAATTAAAGACGGTTCTTAAGGAACTTCCAGGTCAGTGGGATAATACTGAATATCTGTGTACTTAACTTTGCCGAACAAAACCTTTAAATTATTTTCTGAGTTTTGGCGTGGCATCATGATCTAAGGTATAATTTTGCAGGTGAATTTCTATATGACTCTATCGTTCAGTACCATGTCCCTAATTGCCATCAACTCATATTCAATTAATGACAGATGTTACCTGTCCTATACAACATGTACCCATACCGACTTTTAACTTTAAGAGAACATTAACCTCTTTGGGGATAGCAACTCTATCAATACTATTCAAAATATCAATCCAAATATTTTGGGGTTAATGCAGGAATCATAGATTAGAATGAACAAACCAACACAAAATGTTTAAGAGGGCATTGTGTTATACAAAGTGTGGATGACTGCAATTTATATATAATAAATAAAAATAGTTGTAAAAAATTGTAAAACATGGCCCCAAATGTGTAATACAATATTTTGGCTTGTAATATATAACTAGAACATTTATCTTTTGAAAATTTTCTAAAGGAACAAGTACAATATCTTTAGAATCATATCTGATTGAATAATTTTAAGATAGTAAAAAAAAAATCAAGTTACTAGATTTGCAGAAGTACCCAGCTTTTTTTCTTTTAACTGGATTTGACTTGTCTCAACTCATGTTTGCCAAAGTTGCTCCTTTTATTTATCCTTGACTTAGTCACAAAGTTTGTGACCTTCAGTAAAATTAAACAGACATTCTAAATAAGGAAATCTTTTAAAAGTAGAGAAAGAAATAAACAGAAGCAGGATTTATTAATTTTTTTGTGGGCAGAGGGAGAGGCTTTTACTTGTTTTACTTACACGTGCCTTGGAACCTACAGACCCTGGCTTATGTCCATGCAGTTACCCAATCCTTACCTTTAGGAACTCTGAAAGTGACAATAACTATTCACTGAGCACATATAATGTATTTGGTAGAAATAAGAATAAAAATCCTGAAAAAGCATACTGCTAGGGGCTTAGAACTTGTCTGTTTCATTTTTCAACAAACTTTAGACTCAGTTAATTTACTTTCATGTTACAATGGAACATCAGCTAATTTACTTATTGCAGCAGACGTCTGCCTCCTATGCCACATGAAAGCATTCTTGAAATACTTGTGAAGCAGAACCCTTAATAGCTAACCATGGATTCCAGTATAGTCCCATATAAAGTGTGCAGATTCATTCCTAAAAAAAAGCAATACAGACTCCCAAAGAGACATAGCAGGCTTGGGTTGTCTTGATTGAATTGTTTCCTGTTCACTGTTTGATACTAACTGTACTGAGGAGAAGGGTCCTTTCCATCTCCTGTCGCCTTCTGCATTAATGACCAGCAACTCTGGCGGGCACCATCTGTCTCCTTTGAACATTCCATGCTGCATCACCCGCAGCAACTTCTACTCTTCACTCAAGTAACTCAGGAAACACCCGAGCTTCAGTATTTATTGTAATTCTTATATCATGCCCCCTCCAACCCTCTGCTATCTGGCAAGAACTTCTACCCTTCGCCCAACGGGTACCAATGAAACAGAGATTTTCCATCTTCCATCTGCAAAAATTCCATCTGTATCTTCTCTCTCTCTCTCACACTCACAAGAGATTGGGTCTCACTATGTTGCCCAGGTTGGTCTCAAACTCCTGGGGTCTAGTGATCCTCTCTCCTTATCCTCCTGAATAGCTGGGAACTATAGGAATGAGCCATAGCACTCAGCTATTCACCTATATCTTTTATACACATGCATTATGATTTGATAAACAAAACATAATGGATAAGTATAACTTAACCAAATAGAAAAGAAATGTAGTCACAAACTTGTAACTATGCCAACTGTCATCTTTTGATGTTAGTGTAAAGTTATATACTTAGCCTCTGACTCCTTAGCAGTTTAGCCTGTTTCTTTTATTTATAATTAATCAAAACATGATGGTAGAAAACAATAACAGCACTCCAAAATGCTTTAAAAAATTGCTAAAAAAATCAATATTTTTTTAACAGAAAAACTTACATATAAGCTATTTCTGTGTCTCAGAAAAGCATGTTAGTTTTTTTTTGTTTGTTTTGCTATAAAACATTAGATTTGTATTTGCAGCTTTACCCTACCACCTGCACTGCTACCAACTCAAAAATGTTGGTTGTGAACTTCAGAAGATGGCTTCTTTAATGCAGAATTACCATGGTGCTGCTTTTATTCTAGAAGATGTATGCCACAGCCATGAGAGAATTTCACAATTGTAATAAATCAAAACATGGATAGTGTCTCCTTCGTGCTTTCTATAAAAGTCACATTGCACACACTCCATATATAGAAAAATATTCTTGTTAGAATATGACTTCAACACCCTTCAATTTTTTTTAATCCCTAATGAGATTTATTGCTAACATTCTCTTTCTCTCTTGCTTTAGGAAAATTATATAATTCTTCAAGATCTGTCATTTTCCTGCAAATATAAGGTGACAGTCCAACCAATTCAGCCAAAGGGTCACTCGAAGGCAGAAACCGTTTTCTTTACCACTCCGCCATGCTCTGCTCTTAAGGGGAAAAGCCACAAGCCCATGAGTTGCCCTGGTGAAGCAGGTATATTTTGACCTGAAGGACTCACACATCTAGGTCTAAGATGTCAGCAACACCTGGAAACATTTCCAAACTGTAGTTAATAGGACCCTAAACACTAGAACTGCTCCTCCTTCTAAGTTATAATATAATGGCACAGTCTGGAGGGAAGATAAGTAGAAAAGTATGTATTATTTTACAATGCTAACAGCGTTAAAAAGTTGTCTTTTCCTGGCATTATCATTCCTTTGGAAACAAACGCAAGCATTTAGATACCATTTGTGTTTTGGCAGATTTTGACATAATTATTTCACTTTTATCCTACGCCTTTGCTGTGTGCCAATCTACCAAACTTCAATTTTGTTTCTTCCATCCCCTTCTCCTTGTCAAAGCCCTTTTCCTTCAGTGGGAGCAACTAACCAGGGCTCTTCAAATGCCCTGGATGTAAAAACATTTCTGGTAACTTCAAGTATTACCTTCTTAACTGCAGTCATGGTTATTCTTTAAGAAATGGGTAATTCTTACCAGAGTCTAAACTTCTCTCCCTCTTCTGTCCCCAAAGCAGGGTTCTAAAAATAATCCTCAGAGGATAAGAAGATGCCTTCAGCACAAAGTTATAGCTATGAGATTCCTACGCAACCAACCCCCATATGTCAAAGAGGGGATGGCCTGAACTCATGTTTAAAGAATGAGGTCACATTGCTTTTCCCTTCTTATAGAGTGGCTGCCTAAATTTCCTATGATGACTATGCAATCAATTCCATGTTCACATTTTCTCTAGTTGTCTAACTCTGATTTTCCCTTTTGCACTGCTACAGGTCATGTTCTTTCCAAGGTGCTAGCCAAGCCAGAGAACCTTTCTGCCTCATTCATCGTCCAGGATGTTAACATCACCGGCCACTTTTCTTGGAAGATGGCCAAGGCCAATCTCTATCAGCCTATGACTGGGTTTCAAGTGACTTGGGCTGAGGTCACTACAGAGAGCAGGCAGAACAGTCTCCCCAACAGCATTATTTCACAGTCCCAAATCCTGCCTTCAGTAAGTGCTGCCTCGTGTACTATGTCTGTGTTGTTGGTATCCACTGCTCATTTTGTTACCTTAAGAGATAGATATCTCTGTTATTCTGTGTTCTATACTATTGAGTCTTATTTCTGCATTGTCTTGTTCTGAGTGTATCATTTTGCAAGCATTAACACATCACATGTGTATTTGAGAATAGTTAAAAAGTAGCATAAGCTGTCATCTAGATAAATTTTGATGGCTAGAGCCAGCTGTTGAGCAGACCTTATCTTGTCTATCTTGTATGCAAGCAATTGAGTCATTTTCTTCTATCTTTATTAGCCCTGGTTCCTCTGGTCCAAGTGGACATGCCCTGTTTGAAGTGTTGAATTGGGGGAAGCATAGCTAAAAGAAGCTTGTTGTTTGTGATTCTTTCCCCGCTTCAAATTTGGCTAGGGCCCATAATGAGTTGGCCTGTATTCCTGGCCACTTAATTCCTTGGCCTGAAAAAAAAATCATGTGTGGGCTTTTGCCCTCTCTGAAAATGCTCTTAGAATGACCAAGTCTCACTACAAAATCCAAAAAAAAGCATAACTCCCAGAAAGAAAAAAATTCCATGGAATTAGAGAGTAGTTATTCTATAAATGTACTAGGTTTTATTGAGTTTTGAGAAAAATGTGTTGGCATAAAAATAAACATTTTCAGTTATGGGCATTGACAGATACTGTGTTTTAAGAAAAACAGTTGGCTCATTCACTGAAATTTGGATTATCAAGAATTCACATCACAAGATGTGCAGCTGAACACTTTAAACCATGGGAAAGTCTTATGTTAAGGAATAAAAAAATAAATAAAATCCCAAGAGTGAGCCCTGAGAACTGGCACCTCAGCACATTTTAACTCTGCCAAGTGTTGTAGGCTGCCAAGAATTGAGCTAGGTGCTAAGAAACCATATGGCAGAGAACTCCTGCAAAAGAGGAGAAATATTCTACAAATTAAACTGTGCCTTTAAAAAGCAGCCAAACATGTATATAATATTCTCGAATGGGGGAAGAAGCTGTCACAGACTATCTGTGCATTGTGTGTTGTCTCTAAAAGGTCAATGATGAGCATCCTATTTTGTCACTTCCTTAGGATCATTATGTCCTAACAGTGCCCAATCTGAGGCCATCCACCCTTTATCGACTGGAAGTACAAGTGTTGACCACAGGAGGGGAGGGGCCTGCCACCATCAAAACATTCCGGACACCTGACCTCCCGCCCTCTGCAGCACACAGTGAGTGGGGTGTCAGGGTATTAAGGTGCTCTGTCAGGTCTTGTGGACAGGAAGAAAAGTCTAACTGAAAAATGAAAATCAATAAATAAGTTGTTACAGATTTCTATGAAATAGGGAATTCTCCTTATCTGAAATTCTTACTCGCTATTTGTATCTACTTACTGGATTATATTTCAGCCACTTTTAATACAAATTGTAGAGTTGATGCTTAATTGCTCCCTTTTTCTCCTTCCCTTTTTCCTCTTTTTCTCCCTTTCTTCTTTTCTCTTTCCTCCTCCTCTTCTCTCTCTCTCTCTCTCTCTCTCTAGCCCTTCCTCCCTGCATCCTTCCTTCCATTCTTTCCTCCTCTCTTACATTTTTTTCCTACACAATGCATCTTTTTCCCTTGTCTTCTAAGCCATAAATAAATACATATGGAAAAATTTGTAGCCTCATATCAAGCTAAATGTTTTTAAATTAAGATTTTAAATATGGCAATATAGGAAATAATATTTTACCAAGGAACTAAGTTTCTTATTACATAGATTTTACTGTAATACATGACATGATTTTTTTTCACATGACCCAAATCTATCTTGATTTACTCTAAACCAAGTAAAATTAAAGAAAAAAATTGTCACTTACTTTTAAATTATGTAATTTGTTTACTTTATTCTAGCTTAAATTTTAAAATCAATGTTTAAAAGTTTGTGTGTTGATAAGAAACTTGAGGATTAGTTATAGTTTTAACTCTGATTCTGAAAAATGGTGGATTAAATTTGTACCTATAAAATAACTTGGTATACTTATAATTTGAAGAAAAAGAAAACCTATTACAAAGGGAGAGCTTGATAGCTTCTAAAATTTGTAAGGGTTGGATAACAATTTTTTATTCCTTCACTGAAATTATATTTAATTAAAGTATTTTTTGCCAGATGTGGTGGTGCATGCCTGTAGTCCCAGTTATTGGGAGAGCTGAGGTAGAAGGATCGCTTAAGGCCAAGAGTTTGAGGCTGCAGTGAGCTATGACTATACCACTGCACTGCAGTCTGAGTGTCAGAGTAAGATCCCATCTCTAAAACAAGCAAACAAACAAACAAACAAACAAACAAATACGAAATCCAAGCATTTCTCTATTTTTAAACTTCTTTTAGGAAACAAAAAAAGGATTATGGTTTGCTTAAATCATTGTGAGTATATGGAAAAGAACTTGTGTTTTTTGTTTAGTTATTTGAGGTTTGGGGAAAGAATCGGGGAGGAAGGAAAAAATGGGAAAGGAGAAAAATGCAATGAATGAATGTGTGTTTATACATTCAAATTTAGAATGGGAAAGACATGGCAATAGGAGGGAATATTTGCCTGGGTCTAATGCTTTCACTACAAATAAAACTATTTATTCAATGTATATAAAGTGATGTGATAGATTTACTTTTTCATTTCTTAGGACCCCATCTTAAACATCATCATCCGCATCATTACAAGCCTTCTCCAGAAAGATATTAAACTATTCAATAAGATTTTAAAAAGTTGCACAGATGTGTAAGCTTGTTGAACTTCAGTCAGTAAACATGTGTATAGAGGCAGTAGGAACTTCTCAGAGGCTTGGACTCTCCTATGTAACTTTAGTGCAATAAGTACTTCTGTCAATCATGGATGCATCTGGAAACAAAGTGACAAATAGTCAATCAATGAAGATGGATATCAATCCCCTATGAGAATGGAGAAAATGAAAAAGGCATATTTAACTCTAAATTTTGTTTTCAGATACGGTTTTGTTCATCTCTATTAAAACATGGCAGAACAGAGATTTCTCTGAATTTGGAGTAGCAAATTCTCAGAAAAGTAGAGTAACACATGCACAAGTCATACATACACTAAGCATAGACTTAATAAGTAAAATATATTTTTGCTAAATTATTGATTTGATACGACAAATCAAAATTATGCAGCACTATTTATTCAAATATTTCATAAGATCATTTCTATCCTGGGTAATTTTTAGCTGAAAATTTGTAACCTAAAATATACCAATGAATTTAAATCTAAAAATGCTGCCACTTTGAGCACCCTGTGCTTTTTTTTAACAAAAGATAAATGAAAGTTCAGTCTGTAAAATATGATTTACAAAAGACACCCAAGTCAGAGGAACTCAATGAATTAAGCTGCTAACCAGATTTTGTCTTGGAGAAATGAAAATTCTTTTGTGGGGATACTTTTTAATATTTGATCCAATATTATGAGAAGTTTTCCTGATATGGTATCTTACATACATGTTTCCGTATTTTCCTCAATGTGGAAAAACAGCTGTTGGTGCACTTCAGTTTTACCATCTGAAAAGTCACAAAACCTCTTGCATTAAATGAACAAATCCCAACTTTTAGGCAATTTTAAATCTTTACAGAGATTTGCCTTTTCTTAATCAAAATAAGTTATTTGTATGCTAAAATATTCTTAGTAATATAAAAAAAGGAAGACCTTGATTGATAGAGAAGTACAATTATTTGCATTTAATTAATCTATCCTCTTTTAAATTCATGATAATTTATTGTTTGGAAAATTTCTCATGCTCTAAACTACACCCTTGCAGTATAAAATTAAGTAAAAAATAAGTTATCAATGTATAGTGTTGCAGTGTATCTCGGGATAACCTAAAACACAGAAGTTTAGTTTAATATAATCTTTTTCTTGAAGGAATACTCATGTATATGGTTTCAAATATGCATAGATGTGTGTGTCTATATACTTATAAATGAGTGTGTGTATATAAACAATTATATACAAATACACACACATATATGCACTCAGGCACATGCATAAACATGAGTATACCTTGAGTTTGAATCCCTGAAGAAATTATTTTCATAGCTCACCACTGGTGGATAAAGAAATGGCTCCTCTAAAGGTCATAAGGATAATATATTTTGACCATCAAAGCTGATTCTATGAGAAAAGAGCAATTTGTCAAAATTAAACGCTGTTAAAGACTCCCTCGTTTCATTATCTACCAAGGTACAACGGGAAGGAAATCAGAAACATTATTCTTAGATTCCGATGAGATGGGATTGCTCCTTGTCATTTATTATTTCCTGAACACATACAGATGACTGACCATGCCTGGGAACAGTGGACAACTCAGAGCTTACTGACTCCATGAGGCTTCATTGCAGTGTCTAAAGGCAGAGGCAAAATAAAGTGGAGAAAAAAATGCTTTTATTATTATGTTCATGCATATCTTTAGGGAACACAAGCTATAAGCATGGATATCTAAAGACAGATATTAAAACCTACTTCCTGTGTGTTAAAATATTTAAAAAACAGATAATACAGAAATAGTTCCCAGCTTTGTACGAGTCACATAAACTGGAAATCTCAGAATGAAAGTCCATGTTGGTTCTGAATGGTTTTCTGTAGTTCCTAACATAGACTGGAATAGACTTATCATGATGTGTTGTGAAATCACCTGGTTCTGAGAATATTTGAATGGAGAGAACAGGAAACAACCTTCATTTGAAAACATCCCTGAGCTTGAGCAAACTGGTACCATAAATATCTTTTCTAAAACCATGCTTTCTTCTAGTGCTGTTACCAGCATCTAAATTTCAAGTTCTCAAAATTTCAAAACTTTCAACTTCACATTAGACTATACATTTATCTTTTACATTAATTTGTTGTGTATAAATTCAAACATTTATGCCAACAAATTTTTGTACTATTGTATAGTTTAAAATGTGGGAGTACATACATAGATACAAAATACTATTAATTTATAATATAAACTTAACTTTATAAAATTTAATTATTATTTTTTGTCTGCATAATAGATCTTGAGCAAACAGATATATTTTTAGTTTGGATAGTTGTTCTAAAACTTACATCTTCCTTAAATCTAAAGCAACACTTATGAGCTTCTAATTTTACTATAATACTTAATAATTTAAATTTTATTAGCAGTATTGGAAGAAAAATGCTATTGATGAGATAATAAAAACTTGAGTTTCTTTTATAAATTTTCATAATTTATAATAATATACAAATGATCACAAATATACTTATACTTTTTTGAATTTTAAAAATGTGCACATTCTAATACAATAATAAAATCTATGTGCCTAATTCTCTAATGTGTTTTATTGAAATTAGATGCATTTCTTTAATGTGAGAAAACTATATCCGGAGATAGTATTTACCTTTTAAAAAAATTGAGCTCATAAAAATGTATTCATCAAATACAGGTGGTTATCTTGATATACACTGCAATTATATGCACTATTTTATTTACAACGTTCACTCCTTAATGATGAATTTATCTGTGCTACCCTCTTTTTCTAGCTGGAACTCTATAGAATGATGTTTGCAAACCTACATGCACCCTTTCAAACCATTAATTGTTTTAATATGATATACTAGAGAAGATAAAGTTAATGACAGGTAATTTTCTGTAATGTTTATTAAATAAAGCTCAAATGTTAAAAATACATTTATGACCAAGAAATTTTAGAACATATAAGTGACTCTGTAGAGCGATTTGTCTCAACCTCAGCACTATTGGTTTTGGGGCTGGATAGTTCTCTGTTGTGGAGGTCTGTCTCATGCATTGTGGGGTGTTTAGCAGCACTGCTGGTCTCTACTCACCAAATGCCAGTTGGACCTTCCCCAAGTTGAGACAACCAAAAATGTCTCAAAATGTTGCCAACTGCCCTGTGGGGACATACAAGTACCCCTGGTTGAGAACCACTGTCATAAAGTGATGTTTCCTGAACTGATGGGAGTTTTCCCTTTATAAGGAACCCAATAAATTGCAAGAGCAAGTCCCGAGACCTAAGGCACAGCTAAGAAATTATTACATTTGACTTCAAGGCCTACATTGTGTATTTTATGTCCACTAAAAACAAAAAAACATATTAAAAGACTACATTTTGACTTGTGTCTGTATCATACAAGCACAACTACTAATTTTGCCCTATGTATCGGTAAATGTCAGTTGTGATATTGACTTATTTATTTAATGCCCTATCTTACACTGCAGGTTCCTCAAGTTTACTCATTTCAATGACTGCAAATAACTCTAAATGTTGTTATACAAACATTCACATTTTAACCAGAACATAATGGCTAAATGTCTGTTGCATGTACTTTAAAGTTTATTATAAAATATAAACAAATCCATAAGGATGTTGACTCTTATCTGCGATTTTGCATGGCCAGACTCGGTGTCAGTTGTGGAATGGATTCTCATGACTGTCTTACCTCTACTGAATATTTTAGCAAGTTATACAATTTCCAGAGTGATTAACAGAGGTTTATATAAAGTTATTATTTTTCTTTTACTTAATTATATTGTAGTGTGCAGATAACAGAACTTCTACCTTCTCACCCAAATGTTCTGTAGAATTCATGTCCTTTATAGTGGTCTTTTAAAGTCAATATTTATTTATGTATGTAATAAAAAAGTTTGATTTTTGTGTATGTCTGTCATGTTATTTAGAGAGAAGTAATCTTGTAAAAAATGTTTTGTAAAAAACAAAAACGTATTGTAAATAGTCTTGATATTCTGTGACTCATTTTCATGTTAGAGTTTGTACATACTGGTTCAGTAATAAAGTATCCTTAAACCTGCTCAATAATTGGACTCATTTATTTTTTGGAGAATTTTTTTTTTTTTTTTGCTTGGCACTGTGGTACATGCCTCTAATCCCAGCTACTCAGAAGGCTGAGGTGGGAGATTGCTTAAGGTCGGGTGCTTGAGGTTAGCCTGGACAACATAGCTAGGTCCCATCTCTAAAATAAAAAAAATTAAAAAATTAAATTTAAGAAGAAAAATGGACAGTTTCTGCTGCCAGGGAGATTCAAAAAGCCTAACTTTCTATGTCAGCATGAATGGAATTTGAGGTCTGGTAAATGTTAACATGACAGCACTTCATCATAATGAGAGTATTTTGGAGTTTGACAATCAACACTTAAGGTTTCTTTCATCAGCCGGGCTCGGTGACTCAGCCTGTAATCCTGCGCTTTGGGAGGCTGAGGTGAGTGGATTGCCTGAGTTCGCGGGTTCGAGACCCGCCTGGGCAACTTGCCGAGACCTCATCTCTACAATAAATCAAAAAATCAGCCAGGCATGGTAGCGCATGCCTGTAATTCCGGCTACTCGGAAGGCTGAGGCGGAAGGATCACTGGAGCCCAGCAGGTCGAGGCTGCAGTGGCTAGGAGCGGCCACTGCACTCCAGACTGGGCGACAGAGTGAGACTCCAACTCAAAAAAAAAAAAAAAAAAGATTTCTTTTATCATGTTCACAATTGTAACTCTTCATGGTGTTGGTACCATTTTTAATCAATGATCAATGATTTTAAGTTATTTTTGCCACCAAGATTTATGCATAAAATTCTAGATATATGCAATGCTAATAAGCATTCATGATTAGCTTTGTGTTTCTTTATTTTTCTGTAATGTGCCACTTTTTTTATTGCAACGTGGCCATTTTGGGGAGGGTGGGGAGTTTGATCTCAAAACAATGTTCCATTTAAGGCTCTTTTATACAGAAAATGCCATCATGACTAATATTCAAAATATCTTTAGTGTTACAAGACTCACATGGTAAACATAAAACTCCTACACTTATTCAGTAGTGTACACTCAATAGAAAACAAAAAGGCATTAATAACAGCTATTTCTTTTAACAAGATATGCAGGTAACAGGAATGAACACTGAGGTACTAGTGTAAGTTGACAGAGTTAACAAAACTCAATTGGCATTCCTTTTGGGGGATTAAACTCAGTACAATAAAGTGCTTTTTATGCATAGTGTTATATCCATGTTGCCTTGTCACAAAAATAGGCTTGCCAAGGCAAGTGAAGTGTA